AAGGTGTACCTCCGCATCCGCCCCCTCCCGGCGCCGGAGCGGGAGCGCGGCTGCCGGCCTGCCGCCGGCCGCGCCAGGGCCAAGGAGCAGCCGCCGCCGCCGCCCAGGAAGCAGCAGCAGCCGCCGGGGGTCTGCCTCGTCGCCACCGGCCCCGGCTCCGTCGCGCTCACCGTCCCCCAGGCCAAGCTCGTCGACCACCGGCGCGGCCGCACCGCCACCGAGGTCTTCGACGGCTTCTCCGCCGTCCTCCCGCCCGACTCCTCGCAGGTATAACCTCCAAATCCTTGCAAATCTGCCCCATTTGCATCTATGGATTTTGAAGTCTGGCATTGCCTACGAGATTATCCCCTCCCGCTTAGAACAAGTTGCTGTACCCTAAGAAAAGCACCGAAACCCCGACGAGTCGGCTCCATTTCGACCTGCATTTTGCATTGCGCCTGTGCATTTTGCAAACCGAGGTCTTCTACCGGCTACAGATAACCGTGCTACGATCTCAGCCGGATTCTGCTGGGAGGATCTTGCGAGCATCCCCAGCACAGCAGTGAGGAACTGTTACAGTGTTTGAACTAGACTTTTTACTATAGTTAGCTAGCTGGAGATGTTTAACTCGTGTAAACTTTGCACAGCTTTTGTATGTATGTATTTTTAGTGGTGAAGTTTCGTTTGTTGTACGATACGACGAAAGCTCCTACATGACATGAGTATAGTTCTGTTACTAAAGGTTGTCGATTCATATAATCCTTGTTATGCTAGTTTAAGAAAAAGCAGCATCAATCTTCTTTTTTCAGATCTGTGCTTTCACCTCACAGTTGTGCCAAGTGTAAGGAACTTATTGTCCTTGCTATTACGATTGTTTACCTTACTGTAGAGACCATGGGATATTTTTGCAGATAAACTACGGTAAAATAGTTAGGTGTGAATTCTAAGGATTTTGTCCTATGGGTTTCGTTTGGCATTTTTCCTAAGGATTCGAGTGCACTCTATTTTGGAGAGAATATTTCATCCGTCGGACGTCAATTCATTTTCTTTTCACTCTATGATGTGATGTAATTCTTTCCAATCCACCCATGGATTTTTATTTATGTACCACCCAACTATTTTTCTTCATAACCCACACAAAGGCTGAAAGACGCATAAAATGAATTTTTCTTCCGTATAATCTTAATACAGTCTCATAGATCTTTCCATTTCAGCCTTTAAAAGTCCAATGCACACACCCTGGCTATATCTTCGCTCCTCCAAAATCCATGCATTTATTTTTTTGTGTACCATCGTGATGCATGACATGCCAAACTCTTGCAGAAATCCAAATCTTCACAATTATGGTTTTTTCGTATCTCTATTTTCTTGTTCCTGTTATTCAAGTAGGCATTTGTGCAGTTTTTATACGTTGAGGCATATTAAAGTTGTGGAACTAATGCTTAGCAATACTGAAAAACCAATTCACAATTGGTAAGTCGGTTTGAAAATTCTTGTTTCTAGTCAACCGGTCGTCGGCATGTCAACCAGTATAAAAGTACATTTGTTCACTGCATTACTATCTTTTTTTTTTAGGTGATGCATTACTGTCTTAGTGGTACAATGCTATCGATTTCAGGACAGACCTAGGAGTATTTCTGTACCGGGCTATGATTTAGATGACGTTTACTGGACCTGAACTATGCATTTTCTGGCATGCTATTAATCTCTCCTTGCAATTCCGTGCAGAATGATATCTTTACTCAAGTGATGAACCCGCTAGTGGACGAGTTCTTGGGAGGAAAGAACGGCCTTCTGGTTGCGATGGGTCCGACAGGGTCCGGCAAGACGCATACCGTCTTTGGTACTGCAAGAAATCCCGGCCTGGTACCGCTCACGCTACAGAAGATCTTCACTACGGCAGATGAATCCGAAGGTGGCAACCAATCGCCAAGGTACACCTGTTCTGGCCTTTTTGCTGCCAGCTTGGTACACTCCACTAATGTATAATCTGCGCATCTAGTACTGGGTCTGTGCTAGGATTGACGCCAAATGCCGCAAATATAGCAAATGTTCAGAAGATTATTGGAGCATGCAAGTCTGTAAATTTCTGAAACTAAAAAAGTTTTACAGTTTTGGATTCTCTCGCAAACAGCTTATAACTTAACATGATCTGCAAACGCAAGTTCTTTGTTAGCTTTTCTAGCTATGGCGGAAGCAATTAAATCACAAACATTGTCTTAATGAGTTCCATGTTATACTTGCAGATTATTTTACTTGTCAATGTTCGAGATACTCTGTGAAGGAAAAGGAGAACGAATTCTCGATCTTCTGTCTGATGCAACAATTAAAGGCCTTAAAGAGGTATCTATCCCGAAAGACGGGGTCTTCGAATGGCACATTCCAGTTGATATGCACTGCATTGATATGAATAGTTTTTGTAGTAGCATGCAGTAAAGTGCTCGCCTTTCTGGCAATAGCATAAAATTAGATGCTCACTGTTATCTATTTGCAGGTAGCCATTTCAAGTGCCATGGATGCTGAGAGTTTAGTTTCACGTGGCATGCTTAAGCGGAGCACAGCTGCAACTGATGCTAACAGCGAGTCAAGGCATATTCTCTGTATAGATAGATCTGCAAACATATCTTTGATATAAATAGCACTTATCCTGAAAAATGGGCATTGTTTTCTCATTGCTCCTAACTAAGTTTCTACACTTTCTGTTTTCAGGTTTTCCTTTGAACTTTTTACTTGCAGTTATATACAACGATGTTAAGATTAACTTCATATTGTATTGCAGCCGGTCACAGTGCATCATCACTATACGTGCTGTTCATAAAAACGTTGACCAACAAAGTGAGCACCCGATTAGTGGATCTGTCTTGACCATTGCTGACCTTGCTGGAGCAGAGCGAAAAAAGAATACTGGAAATAAGGTCTATTCGTCTATCACCGTTAATTGTATTGTATAGCAGTGATCATAAAACCATGTCATGACACCTGTTCTTCTACTGGATAATGGTCTAAATAACTTTTAATCTTTGATTTCCAGGGTTCAAGGTTGTTGGAGAGTAACTTTATCAACAATACGTCCATGGTTTTCGGTCTATGTCTGAGGGTAAAATTGGCCTTTTCATTTGCTGCCCTTTATGCACAACAGATGGTGCTTGCAGAATGCATTTTTTATCAGTGAGGTGCGCCTGCCAGCTAATGATAGTTTTGCTTTTCAACTTTGGTAACTGCAGGCTTTATTAGATCATCAGAAAAATCAGAAGAAAACCTTGGAGAAACATTTTAAGAACTCAATGGTATGTGTGCTGACAATGTATTCTTTGAAATAAACATAGCATGGATCTTGAATCTTCCCTTTTTTTGATTCTTTTGGCTGGTCTCCAAACAATGCCCATCACATGTTTCTTCAATCAACATAACATTTTTAGTGGAGATCTTCCCTTTCTCTGTTTGGGGATCTAACAGTCGACACGTATTGATCTAATAAGAAATATGTCTATCAACATAATATTTTTAATGTGCTCATAGTCATATCTCCATCCCCAACTAAGCTACTGACTTCCTATATATTGTATTATAATTTGTGCAGCTTGGATTCCATGTATACACTACTAGCTTGCTATTAGATTTAGATGTTACTCTGTTTTTGGACACTCAGTTTTTCTACTCTTTAAACCTGTATATGCTATGAGTTTTTAGTTTTAAATGCTATTATCCAGTTCTTGATGTTAGTTAGTTAGTAACACATAATATTATTTTCATTTGTCCTAAATATTTTGAGTTTTGAAAGTTGACAAGGTACTTGAAAGACTACCTGGAGGGAAGGAAGAAGATGACTCTGGTAAGTCATTCTGAGATAAAATGGTCTATTTTCTTATCAACAGCTCCTCAAACGACATATTTTACTAGTTAAAAGTTTTTTTGACCATGACAAATGTACTACTCCCTCGGTCCCAAAATAAGTGTTGCTGATTAAGTACAAAGTAATGCTAAATCAGCGACACTTATTTTGGGACAGAGGGAGTATTATTCTATTGGCCATTTTGAAGGATGTCTATTGAAATTTTTTCAACCGAGGGCATATTTTTGCAAGTCACTCACATTCTCTATATTTTTATGCTGGAAGAGTGTCATTGACACCCTTACTCTGAGGTCACACAGCGCATATTGACTTGATAAGTGCACTGTTCTTAATTACCATTTCTATTGTTTTTCAGATTTTGAACGTGAAACCAGGAGAAGATGATTACGCTGATACATCATATTTGCTCAGACAAGCATCTCCTTACATGAAAATAAGGTACTTCCCTTAGCTTTTATGACATACTTTTTTTTCTTTTTTCTTCTTCCAGCCTTTTGTTGTCTTTGGAGAAAGGGAAATACATAACTGGAGTTGAAATGTTAGATACTTAGATTGCATTTTATCCTAGACCTAGAGTTTTATCCAATTCTGGTGCATGCAGTTCAGTCCTAGACTCCTAGTGTAACATTGACAATATTTCCTATTAGGATTAAGTGAAAGAACTCAAGGAGCAGAGAAGTCCTTTATTTAAACCTATTACAATAGCAGATATTTGTCTGAGCAAATATTGATGAATCTTCCTATTATAATTCATTCTATTTCCTGTTATCTTTTCAGGTACACCAGCCTTGATGAATCTTCTAACTTGGTTTCCCAAAAGAGAACCAATGTTTTCCTGGTTTGCCAAGAGAACAAGAAAAAGAGGAAGGTTAACAAGCCCGAACCTGAAGTTGTTACGGTACAAATTAATTAAATCCTCCAATAATTTTGTCCCATTTAAGTATTTAATTTCTGTCTGGCGCAGAGCCTCACTTGTATAGACATTTCAGCTCTGATACTTAATTTTTTTGAATGAACTATCATTTTTGTTATGTTCTGCAGGCTGAAGAAAAGGAGCTGCAAAGAGTGTCTCGAAGTGAACAAATCATGAAAAACCTTTTCAATGCTTTATGGACTGTTTCAAAACAAAAGATTACGGTAAGCAGCAAAAGATTTTGGTAATTTGTTCATTCGAGTCTCTTTTTGTATTGTGTTGATCCATGGTATTTCGTTCATAGGAGTCTGAGGTTGCTGCTAAAAGCATGCAAGAATTGCTCAAAGATAAAGACACTGAAATTCTAGAGCTGAAAAAGGAGTTGGATGACCTGAAGTCTCGTTGTTCACGCGTTAAGCAAAATGGTGCTGCATCAATTGCTATAAGCTCGGTTTCTGAAACTGAACTGGCCAGTGACGCTGCATTAGACAATCTCCATGTAAGTTCAGCTTCAAATTATAATATCTTACGCTTGATGTTCTATTTACATATACGGCCTTATATGTGCATGATGAATGACTTAGATTTGGTGGTATATATGCTATATGATTTTCTGCTATTTCAAGCAATAATCAAATAAGCATGCTTTAATGTTATAACTCTATAAGCAAGTTACCACATCTCCAATGCTCATGTGTATTTTTTTTTTGCATATCACCTTCTGCCCTGCTTTATGTACTACTTGTGCCTCAATAGCAAGCAAGTATCTCCCCTTTAAGTCTCTATCTCAATACTTTATATGCCATGAGGTCTGGTTTGCTGTACACTCTACACTTACCTGCTACCTGAACAGCCGTTAGGAGTAGCATAGGGTGTTCGTGTTGCTTGTGTAGACTTGTAGGGTGTTCTTTGTTGTATGAAATCGGCACTTTCTTGCCCAACTTTTTCATATATTTGCTTCTACTCTTTGTGAAAAGACACACAAACACTTCTTTTCATGTTATTTGAAGTAAGCCATACATATGAGGTCGGAACTTTCTTGCTGATATGCTTGTGTTTGTCTACAGTTGAGCACTGAGTTGGTACAAAAGATCTCAGAAGAATCTACATATTCTGATCCAGAAATGTCTTCAGCTTATTGCGATATGACAGGTTTATATGTTTTCACAGTAAACATGTCCTCACCAATATCAGCACATGGTTGTTTTAGTTCTGAGTCCATTTTCTTATAACAGAGAAATCCGTCGACTGTGATACCTCTGTTGCTAATTTGATAGATGAACAAGAGTTGAGCTCCAGATATTTGAAGGTTTTATACTTATCCTTAAACATTCTGCACTCCGTCGTGTTCAATGTGTCCACAGAGTTCATCCTTTTGTGATGCTGACCTAGTGTTGAAGAAATTCGCCTCATCTTCTACTGATACAATGCCATCCTACTTTTTCAGAAAGAGGAATCATGCACTCCTGATGTTACTGAACCCAAGTGCGATCTGAAAAAGGAAAATACTGAGGTGGGCATGCAATTTTCTATCACTTTCTCATGTATGCAAAGTCATTTTGCGTTGCATTTGAACCTAGTTCTTGTTAAAGTTTTTGATTGCGTGCTATTTGATTTAGCAGCAGCGTTTTCCAGCAGCTACAGCCGCTATAGCAGGCTATAGCGGCAGCTAAGCCATTTAGCGGCAGGTAGTACATGTGTATATTTAGTAAAATTACAGTGCATATTCAGCAGTAAAACAGGGTATTTTCATCAGGATTTTCAGCAGGAAAACAGAGTACATAACTATATATTCAGTTATTTACCAGTTCACAAACATGGGAAATTAAATCAAACATGCATCAATTCATCAGCCCACAACACATTGGAATCAAACAAGCATCAGTATTCAGTAGTCACAACAAAGTATCACCAATTCACCAGTCACTTGAATTCAAAGTCTTAGGTTCATAACAAACAATAAAGGGGTTTGCACCTGGCCAGCAATCCGTGATACTACGTCCACTACATGCATCATGAAATGTTCACCATTCAATAGTTTTTCAAAAGCACATGTAGCAGAATGGACAGCATAAAGAAGTTCATGGACAAATTGACAGTCTCACAAGTCAGAACCAGAGCTCATGTCATTGTTGCCGTTGTCGTCGTTGTCGTCGTCACTTTCTGAAGCAGAGGAAGCAGAAAGCAAATCTTCATGAGGAGTAACAGGGATCATCTTCTTCTTCTTCTTAGAATGGATACCCCTCTTTCTTTTAAGTATTGGATTCGTTGTCGAAGTTGATGGTCCAGCTTGACCACTTGCATATGGCAGTTCTTCTTGTTCTTCTCCTTCAGATTGTTCGTCATTGGCATTTGGCACCACACCAGTGATCCATTCGTTGTCGTCATCTTCTAAAACATCGACCACGTGCTTCTCAATTAGGGTCCTTGATTGTTTTTAGTTTCTTGTCCCTCAGTCTGGTGTTGAACTTGATGAATACAAGGTCACTCATCTTGTCATGACTGTCCATCCTTCTCAAAACAGTTTGGTGTTTGCCTGCTACGTCTCTTCGTGTGAACCTACAAAATGAACAGATTGTCAAAATGATCCTCATGCAAGAAAGAGTGCCATATATATAATCAAAAGGACAAGCAGAGAAACAAATGGACAAGTATACCATCAAGCAAATATATAACCAGGACTATTTGTATACTCACTTGATCAAAGTATATGAACCATCATACATCCATAAAGAAAGCCCATTGCCGGTACATCACTGTCCATCCTTCTCAAAAGATTTGCCATCGGCTCAAAGAAATTCACAGCAACATCTACTGCTTTCCAAAAAGTTTCAGAGCGAATAGTTTTAGCTGCATTCTTCCCCTTTGCCTTTTTAAGGTGGTCCATATCATTGAGTTCATCAGACCTAAACAACTTCTGCAGCTCCTTTTTTGTTGTCCTGCAAGCTCTTCAAGTTCAAATATGCTGTAGCAAACCTAGTAATACCAGAACGAACAAGATCTTTTCCAAGAAATTTCCTCATCAGAGCTAAAACTCTTGTATGTGCATAAAGGAACAGAGTCACAGCCCTTGCTTTGACAATGGTTTGCTCAACTGTAGGTAGCTTGCCTATGTCCTCCAGCATCAAATCAATTGTGTGGGCTGCATAACCATTCCAAAATAAGGAGGGGCGCTTCACTTTCATCATCGCTGCTGCTGATATATTGACAGATGCATTGTCAGTTACAATTTGAATTACATTTTTCTCTCCAATTTCTTCTACGCAGCCATCAACAAGCTCAAATATCATCTTGCCATCTTTTCTCACATCCGAACAGTCAACAGATTTAAGAAAAACAACACCATAAGCGCTGTGAACTACCAAATTCATTACCCCCCTTCCTCTTTTGTTGGTCCATGCATCTGTCATGATAGTACATCCAGTGAGGTTCCATGCATCTTTATGTCCAGCGAATCCTTCCTCAACTTTCTTCTTGCTCCAAGTAAGGGCCACCCATTTCATAGGGAGTGGGGCCTGTCATGTCTGATCCAAATGTTCCAATAGCTGTAAGCATCTGTTCAAAGCTTGGAAGTAAGACTGTGTTGTGGGCAATGCCTGCTTCATAGAAGAACTGACAGATGTACTCACAAGCCCGAACCCTCCTCTCTTCCCTTATTTGTGAGGACAACTTGGATTGCACCTTCACGGATAAGCCTTTTTGTTTACTTGCAGCTAAAACCTCTTCTGGTGTCTTGATGCAAAACTTATCCATTGCACCATGTGGAGCCCTTACTCTGCCCTGATCCTGATAATAAAAGAATACCACCGCCACCACCACCACCCAAGATGTCATCTCCATCATCAGCCCCATCATCATTTCCATCCAAAGTAACATCACTTCTGCGCATTGCTTTCTCACTGGCCTTCTTTTCCTTTGCTTCATCTTTCTTTGAGATCAACTCCCTCATCTCTTGCTTTACATCAGCAGGAACAAGTTTGCACAAAGTAACACTTTCCTTTTTGATGTTTGCAAAGTGGTACTTCATCCGAGTAATACCACCCATGTAAATACCATAGCAGAAGTTGCATTTCACAGCAGCCTTCTTTGTCTTATCTGGAATATTGCAATACTTCCATGCTGGGTCATCTGATGGAGGTGCATGAGTTGGTGGCACTACTGGTGTAGTGTTTGACCCAGCCAAGCCTACAAAAATCATATACAAATTAAATGTGAAATGACTTGACTTACTGAGAGCATTCTACAATTAACCGGTGACTAATATATATATATATATGAAACAAGAAAACCATTACCCCAAAAGATTTGCAACATAAAATGCTTGTTCTGAAAGTAGCACAACAAATAGCAACATCTTTATACAGATCTTCACCAACCAATAATAGAAAGAAAGAAAAACAGGTCATGCACAGCCATCAATTGATTCTAACATAAAAGAACGAACACCACATGAAAATCAGCGAAATCTCGGAAATAAATCGATCCAGAAGCTCACTATGACTGTTGTGGTGCTTCCTACAGTATCGTTTTTAGGACGCTGCAGAGATAAAGTTCAGCAGTCCCCAGTTCACAAGAGATATCATATCAAGAAGCCATCATATAAAGAAAATTGAGTGGCAGATCTGTAGTGTATTGGAGAGCTATCTTGAAAATCTTAGCTACAAGCAACAAGCTACGACCTGAACTACAAGTCTCCAATCCCAAGATCATGCCATGGTGCTTATACTGAATCCACAAACGAATAAACGATGGAAGAGGAATCTGCCTCCTGGAGATGTGCTGGAACCGGGAGTTGGAGCCGTGTTAGACTGGGATTGGGATGTCATTATGGTCGCGGAGGCCTTGCTGCCCTGTCTCCTCGTCACTGCATCCGGCTTCCGGCGATGCAGCAACCGGTCCACTGACCGCAACTGGGAAAGAGTCGAGCAGCCGCCGCAGGTGGGAGGGAGTGAAGGAAATGGATACGATTCTAGGTTTCCTGGGGGTGCGGCTCTCTCTATTGAGTAAATTTGGGCCAAGCTCTATTTGGGCCTCTATTTCATACTTTCAGCCCATCCCAGCGAAACTGCCGCGACTGCTAAGGCAAATCGCGCCGTTTCGCGCCGCAATAGCGTGAGTAGTGACAGCTTGCGTTTCTATAGGGATTGCGTCGCGGGGAGGCTTCAAGCCAGCGATTGCGCCGCAATAGCGCTCATTTCGCGTGCAATTTAAATCTTTGCTTGTTACTGAACAACATCATTTTTACTTTATGTTCCTCTTATTTCAGACAATCCGACAAGTGGGCAACAAGGAATCTGATGGTTCTGAGAGCTGTTCTGAACAAACATCGGCACCTGACGGTGGTGTAACACATGCACCCAGTCATTTGGATGACCCATCTGAGCTTAGCTTTTCAGGTCAAATTGTATATCCACTTTGTTTGACAGCTCTTAAACTAACTGGTACACAACAACTGAGATACATGTATCATTTCTGCAGAACTTCATATAGTTCCATGTAATCTGTCCGCACAGTTTACTGATATACAAGTTAGTGAGAAAGCTCCCATGGAACAAAGTGAAGAAGAGGAGTTAAGCAGCAATACAGAAGTGGAGAGTATTCAACATGACGTCGACATAAAAGGTTCAAACTCATTTCTTATGCTTGTTTCTTCGTTGCTAGTGATGTACTTCTTTTTTGTTAAACTTCCGCTCAATCTTTGTACAGAGATGAAGCAGCATGATTATCAAAGTTCATCTCAGCAACCGAACTGTGACGCTGGAGACGTTAGCTCCAATCAGCCTTTCTTAGAGTTGCAAGGCATGGTATGTAATCCTTTGATCCTTCTGTTTTTGCAACTCAAAGGGAATTTACCCTACACGTTTTTGGAATATTCTTAGTATGCCATGGTTGGTCATAATGGCAGGATGCATATTTTTAATATACAAGTTACCCTACACCAGTTTCTGCTACTAGGAATACCCTACTGGAAACTATGACATATCGGTTAAACTTTTCCTTCACTTCTAGGGTGCTGCTCACCAGAATCCTGATGAACTGGTGCCTGAGCCAGAAAGGTGCGAGTCCATGGTAAAGGAGGCCACTGCAGCACACGGTAGGTGTCAAGTGTCGTGCATAATAATCTTTGGTCGCTAATTTTTGGTATATTCACGTTGCTTTCATTAAATGATGAGATGAGTCGCCTAATCAACATCGGTGCATTTCTGCAGCACATGGAGCAAATGAGGACCTTTGCGCTTCGAAGCCTCGTGAAAACACAAAGAAGCCGTCAAGGTGAGTGAGGGTACTTATGGAAGGCGGCACCTAAATGCAAAAACCAGCTTGATGAGTAATTAATATCCATAATATAGTTGACACAACCCGTGGTTTGGTTTGGTGAAGCAGGAGGAGGCTGCTGCCGGTGTCGGCCATGATGCTCAAGGAGTTCACCGGCCCTGCCATTGGTTTGGTATGCACGCACGCACGCACGCTCCACCTTGTCTGCGGGAACCGTTTGGTTTTGGACCGATTGATTCTAACCTAACTGACTGGCGCAATGGCTGTTACTGCAGGATGGAGGAGGCGCCAAGGCATCGTCGGGCGAGCAGTCGGCGACGGCTGCTGGGCGATCGGACGCGCTCATCCGGCTCCTCAAAGCAAAAGCGCCGCCCATGAGGCATCATCGGGGCTAGAGAAGAACACCCACCCACTCAATTAGATAAAATTCAGACCGTCAAATCATCTTGGTTTGGTGTAGTTATTATTACTTCTCCACGGTGGGTTGCTTCTGTAGGATCTTCACCAAGTCCAGTTCACAATTAAACTTTTGGTGACACATGGAAATTTATCTATCGAAGAAACGCTCTCATCATCATTGTGCATTCGTATAGTTTGCGATTTTTCATCGGTAGTGAGGAACTATATAGCGAAAAGAAGATGGCACCTGATCCGTACTCGGCACTTTATTCCATTTTTTAAAAGCAAATACACCCATAAGTTTAAACAATATTCTCCTTTTTTGTGGGCAAACATCTTGATTTTTCTTTTTGTTAGCGGCAAAGAGAGAAAAACACGATTATTCATAGTCATGAATACTGTTATCACCGCTTGGAATTTTAAATAACAATGTTAGACTGTTATTTTTGGTACAAGCAACATTCAGTTTTTTCGTGAATTCTAACATGTATTAACTACCTACGTTTTGGGATTTTTTTTTAAAATGGAGCTTTGGAGCCGTGCAAATCCTCACTCTTAGAGCAACTCTAGCAGATAGCCTCTCATGTTTTTCATGTTTTCTTATTTATTTATAGTATTTTTATATGAAAACTTGTTGCCCTTTATTTTTTATAGGTTTTCGGTCTATGTCTGAGGGTAAAATTAGCTTTTTCATTTGCTGCTCTTTATGCACAACAGATGGTGCTTGCAGAATGCATTTTTTATCAGTGAGGTGCGCCTGCCAGCTAATGATAGTTTTGCTTTTCAACTTTGGTAACTGTGGGCGTTTTTTTTAACATCAGTACAGACACAAGTGCTCATATACACGCGCATACACTCACCCATATGAACGCACACACGCACACCCTACCTCTATGAGCACCTCTGAAAGATTGAGCCGACATATCATCTTGAAATTTATGAAGTCATCGTAGGCACCTCGTCATCGGCGGGAACGTCTCCATCCACTGAATGCGCATCGCTGGAAATCTTGAAATAAATCCAAAAATAAATGCGAACACCAGGAGAAATATTTTAAGAACTCAATGGTATGTCTGCTGACAATGTATTCTTTTGAAATAAACCTTGGAGAAATATTCCTGAAGCCAACTTTGGTCAAGGAGGCTTGGCTTGGGGACAAAGGAAGATTGACAACGTCAAGCTGCAGATCGCGATGGCCAACTGGATAATCTTCCAGCTTGACGTGGCGCAGGAACGGCGCTTGCTTTCGGCTGGGGAGATATGGCTGCGTCGAACACTCAAGCTCGTAGCGCTCGGCCTTGCCTCCCTCGAACGCACTAGCGAGGCAAAGGTCATGAATTCGATGGCTTCAGGAAGGAGACGCTAGTACCAAGCTGTTTCACCTCATGGCAAATGGCAAGAAGACGAAAAACTTCATTCCGGCGATCATGCATGATGGAAACTTAATCACGGATCAGCACGGCAAGGAGGAAATCTTTTTCCAAACTTATAAAGACTTGCTAGGCACGGCAAGAGGGCGCGAGAACACCCTGGTCCTAGATTTCCTTGAGATCCAGCCTGTGGACTTGCTAGATCAGGATGTGTATTTCACAGAGGAGGAGGTTTGGGCCACGATCAAGGATATGCCTGCGGATCGCGCGCCGGGCCCGGACGGGTTTATCGGCCTCTTTTTTCAGAAGGCTTGGAGTACTATCAAAGGAGACTTGCTTGCCGCCATCCACCATCTCTTTCTCGGTAATGACCGCAGTTTTGAAAGACTAAACCAAGCCCTGATCACTCTTATTCCTAAGAAGGCCGACGCGTGTCTTATGGGTGATTTTCGTTCAATTAGTTTGGTTCATAGCTTGCCCAAGATCGGTTCCAAGCTACTCGCAAATCGATTGTGGCTACGCATGAATGAGCTCGTCCACGCCAACCAATTGGCATTCATCAAGGGGAGGAACCTACATGACAATTTTTTGCTCGTAAGACAGGTGGCTAGATCCCTCCATCGCCGGAGAGCAAAAGGAGTCTTGCTCAAGTTGGATATCTCACAAGCGTTCGACACTTTATCTTGGCCATTCTTATTTGAGGTTCTTCGTGCCAAGGGGTTTTCGGACACTTGGACGTCCTTGATTGCGATCTTGCTCTCTACGGCCAGCTCCCGTGTGGTGGTTAATGGACATGCGGGGCAAAAATTCTCTCATGCTCAAGGGCTTCGGCAGGGAGACCCGGTCTCGCCGTTGCTATTTGTTATTGCTATGGATGTCCTCACATCCCTAATCACGAGAGCATAGGAGAGTGGAGTGTTGAGCAAAATGCCGGGTTGCACCCCCATGCAACGTCTTTCCATCTATGCGGACGATGTCATATTATTTGTTAGACCAACCATACCGGATCTCAGATTTGTTAAGGAGGCTTTGCACATATTCGGGATTGCATCGGGACTGAACATCAACTACTCTAAGTCCACGACCATAATGATTAGAGACGAGGATGGCGACAAAGAGCTGGTCGAGGGTGCAATGCCCTGGAGCATGGAGTCTTTTCCCTGCAAGTACTTGGGGCTGCAACTCTCCATATGGCAATTGACGCGCTCTGAGTGGCAACCAATAGTGGATAATGTGCTCAATTTTATGCCAGGCTGGCAGAAGGGGCTGATCACTAGAGCAGGGAGGTTGGTGCGTGTGCATGACGTGGTTATGGCGCGCCCCACTCACCATCTTATCATAGCGGATGCCCCCAAATGGGCAATTGAGCAAGTCAACAAAAGGTGCAGAGCATTCTTCTGGGAAGGGTCTGAGGCGATTCATGAAGGAAAATGCCTGGTGGCTTGGCAAAGAGTATGCAGGCCTAAAGACCTAGGTGGCCTTGGGATGCTTGATTTAAAACGTCAAGGCTTGGCATTAAGATTGCGCTGGGAGTGGCTCAGACGTACTGACTCTAACCGACCCTGGCATGGGCTCCTGATGGTGAGTGATCCACAAGTTCATAGGGCCTTCGACAGCTTGGTGCATTGGAAACTTGGGGATGGAAACAAGGTGCTGTTTTGGAAGGATAGATGGATGGAAGGTGGGACTGCTAAGGAGATTGCTCCGAGCATATGGGGCAAGGTTCGCACACAGACTATGACCAAGCGGACAATGAATGATGGACTGATGAACCACCGCTGGTCCGCGGACATCTCAGGAGAGCTTACCACCGACGATCTAGTTCAGTTAATCAAGCTATGGGAGATTGCCATTACCACGCACCTCGATCCTACTTTGCTGGATGAGGCTATATGGCCCTGGAATTCCAAGCAAGTTTACACCTCAGCCTCCGCTTACCAAATGCTTTTCAAAGGTGCAATCAGTGTGGCTTATGCGCGATGGATTTGGAAATGTTGGGCACCCCTCACTTGCAAGATCTTCATGTGGCTCGCGATACAACATAGAATATGGACTTCTGATCGAAGGCTTCGGCATGGGTTACAGGACAACCCTCACCTTGCTATCTATGTGACAAGGAGGAAGACAACGTGGATCATCTACTCGTCCAGTGTGTATATTCACGTCAAGTATGACACCTGATCTTGTCCTGCGTAAGGGCTGCACCGGCCTTAGCGTCGGTGGAGAATGATAATTTGGAATCTTGGTGGGGTAGCACCCGAAAGCAGCTTGGCAAGGAGATTCGTAAAGCTTTCGATAGCCTGGTGATTCTGGTGTATTGGCACTTATGGAAGCAAAGGAATGATCACGTTTTCCACCCGATGACTCCATCTACGTCGGTCTCTGATTTAGCAGTTAGGATTCTTGATGAGCTGCGCATGTGGGCGACAGCGGGAGGGAGTGGAGTTGACACCATTTTGTGAGGAGTTAGCATAGTGCGTGGAGTTGGAGTTTTCCGTGGCCTCAGTTGGCTTGTGACTGTTGGCTATGCTTGTAACACTCTTGTACATTGTTTTCTCTCTTCTATAAAGCTAAGGTACACAATTTGCGTACTCCAGAAAAAGAAATAAACATAGTATGAATCTTGAATCTTCCCTTTTTGATTCTTTTGGCTGGTCTCCAAACAATGCCCATCACATGTTTCTCCAATCAACATAACTATCACGGCCTGGTTGATTGTCGCGCAGGTTGTAGTCGTGGGTTGTAGGAGGACGAGGGCGAGGCCCTCGCCGGCCTATGGTTGGAGAAGGGGGTTGAGGAGGAGCGCCGTGGCTTGTAACACTCTTGTACATTGTTTTCTCTCTTCTATAAAGCTAAGGTACACAATTTGCATACTCCAGAAAAAGAAATAAACATAGTATGAATCTTGAATCTTCCCTTTTTGATTCTTTTGGCTGGTCTCCAAACAATGCCCATCACATGTTTCTCCAATCAACATAACGATCACGGCCTGGTTGATTGTCGCGCAGGTTGTAGTCGTGGGTTGTAGGAGGACGAGGGCGAGGCCCTCGCCGGCCTATGGTTGGAGAAGGGGGTTGAGGAGGAGCGCCGTGGCACAAGAGCAAGGAGGTGAGGTTGTAGGTTATTTTCTGCTTGCGTTTATTGATCCAAGGGATCGCCATATATAGCCTAATTACAAGACCAGATTACAGACTCCTATTACAATTGGTTGTTGGCAGGGTAACCTTCTACGGGACTAAACCTTTCCAACTAATACCCAGACTCCTAATCTAAAAAAACTATAATTAAACTAGGACATATTTTAGGCAGGTGCAGGGCCGGCCCGCGCAGGTCCCTTGCGCCTATAGGGATGGCCCCACATGACATGTCCCCCTCCATTCTGAAACAGCTCGTCCTTGGGTTGGATGTACTCGACCCTGAAACAGAGGTGGAAGCATCGGTAGAACTTCCGACGGTGGACCATGGTACTTCTTCACGACCCCGACATGGAAGACATTGTGAATGCGGGCGCGTGGGGGCAGCTCCAAACGGTAAGCAACCGTATCGATTTTAGCGAGGACTTTGAAAGGCCCATAATATTTGGGAGCAAATTTCCCTTTGGCGCCTACTCCAAGGAATGCCGCCGG